GAACGCTGCTGGAACAGTGGAGCTAACACAACCATGTGGCAGCATTTGTCCACTGGGTTTTGCCCAGTTTAGTTGCTTTAAAGGACACAGCCGGTGATTTACTATGTTTGTGAAACTGTGCACAAACCCCATCTAGAGACCAGCAGCGCCAGTGAATGTGGTGTCCTCACCCTAATGTTTGAATCCAGACCCTGGTCCAGCTTATCCCTCTGTGCCGTAGGCCTCCACTGTTGCCCATCAGCTATTAACCCCCCCCCCAACAACCACCACCACCACCACCACGTATTCTTGTCAGATCACAAGGACGACCTGAGGCACAGTCACAGAGCAAAATCTCAGTGTGGTGAAACTTCTCAGAGCTCTGGCCTAGTCTTTATTTTTAGTTCTGTGAATCAACTGTTCAGCCTCTGTGGTGAAAAGTTTCCGTTCAGCAGCAGCTTTTACAGCCCAGATGTGCAGACAGACAGAGTTAGCACTGAACTGAACAATCTCTCTTTGTCCTCCGGGCTGCAGGGGGCTGCTGTTTCCCTCCGGACAGATGCTGCTTAACATCCTCAAGTTTATTGTCTCTGAACCCGGGTCCAACATAGAAACGGAGAGCGGTGTCTGCACACAGAACTCTGCAGGGATCCCAGTCCACCAGCCCGTTGGGGTCTGAAGCTGCAGCTCTGTAATCTCTGTTTGTTGACTACTCATCTGTCATCTGTTCAACTGTAATGACAAGTCACTTCTGCCCCATTTCTCCCACTGAGCAGTGTAAACCAGTTATCCCCCATGTGCCCACACACATGCTGTCTGGCTGAGATTTAGTCCAGACTCTCTGGGCGTTACGTTCTAGTGCAAAGTTTGCAAAGATCCACAAACTGTCGGTGTTTCTATAACAACATGGAGTCTGTGGTTTTCATATTTCACTTAATGGGCAGATCACAGCTTCAGTGAAGAGCTGAAACTGCATGATACACAACGTAGACTCAGTGGTCAGTTTATTAGGAACCCCTGTCTCAGACTGAGCCTGTCTGATCCAACAGTGCTGCAGTGAATCCTCCTTGGTGGAGGTGATGATGTTCAGACTGTTTCTCAGAGGTGTGGTTCACCTGTGTGATCACTGTGCAGGCTGGAGGTTGTGCTGAGAGCTGTTCCTGGAATTGTGTCTATGCCATATGTATCAGTGAGGCTGCACCAATCTGAAACTGTCAGGGTGGACAAAGAGCTTTTCAATGGTACTTCATCACATCTTTTACCTTCTTTGTTTTCTGACAATTTAAAAGACTTAATGTTTCTGACATGTGTTGGATGGAGGCTTTCCAGTCCTGTCCTCCCAGTGTTACACCTGGTTCATCAAGAATACTGCAGAGACCTTTGTCCTCCTGTGTCTCTGTGTCAGCATTGTTCTCAGAACTCGGCCTGCGTGGCAGATTCTTTAGTTTGGTTTCATCCTCCTGTGAAATACTGGTTCAGTCAGTTGACACCAGACTGTGTGACTGGTCATTATAACCTCATAATAACTACTTGCCATTTGTGTAATGTGACCGCTGCTAGGAGGGCTGCAGCACCACACTCATGTGCTTCATTTAGGCTAACCATCTGGGCTGCATACTACAGTAGTGCACTTTGCAGAACAGCATACTGACGTGTACGGTGCAGGGAATGACTGTGTTACCATGAAGGCCTCACCAGCATGAGAGCAGCCTCTCTCTGGTCCCTGGTTCATGCCGATGTGACACGTGTGTTTACATGAGCTAAATGGAGCCAGAGGTCCTGCTTGTACCACAGTGGGCGCTCTGAGAGACCGTCTCCCAGAGACACTAAGCTTCCTGAGCCTGTGAAAAGTTTCTGATGTTTCCTGTCCATTTGTAGGATAAACAACCCGGTTCATTAGTGCAGCAGT